CCGCTTCGCCCTGCGGCCCGCCGCCATTTGACAGCGGGGCGGGCCGGTCGGGGCTTCACCCCCGGCGCCGGGCGCTGCCGGAGCCGCCGGTCATGAGTGAGTGGCGGGAGGCGGGGAAGGGGCGTTCGCCGGCGGGGCGGGGGGGTGCAGGTGCCGTTGCCGCCGGGCGGTTGGGAGCCCGACGGACTCGCGTCGGGGCGCGCGGGGAGCCCCTGGGCCGTGGCGTCACGAGAGGTGCGAGGGAGGAGGAGGGGGAAACCGCAGCTCTGCTCGGTGCGTAACCGGGCCGCGGGGGTGGCACCGTTTACGGGCTGGGCCCGTTCCCCGCGGGAGGCTCGTTGTTCGTGTTGGCGGCGGCTGCTCAGCCTGCGGGACTCCCCTCTCACGGGGAGAGTGCTGGTGGGCGTCTGCAACCAGCCGAAAACTGCCAGGAACTGCGGCGGGGTTCAGCGTTGCAAAACGGGTAACTGTGGGGAGGGGGGAAACCGAAGCATTAAGCTGCGGGAAAAGGTAGTTTTCGGTAAGGGTATAAAAGAAAGAGACAGAAGACTAGAGGAAGGCTGTAGTTGCGCAAAGATCTTTATTCTTTGGTCTTGGTGGTTTTTTAAAGGCAGCCAAATTCGATAATGAAAGCAATTAGTAAATAGCAGGAAGTGACAGGAAATGAGTATGTAGTAGCAGTACTGCGAGTTGTTGCCATTGCTACCTGTCGACCCTGTCGGTGAGACTGCAGACGAACAAATACATTTGCAGCTGGGCATCCCTTGTAGGGTAGAGTTCCAGAGTCATGAAGTTTAGCTACTGTAGTCCTCACACTCATAGAAAAATTAATACATAGTAAGAATTTATTTGAGTCAAATATATTTGATTAATTGGTTGGTTGGGGTTTTTTTCCCCCTAAATGTCCAGGTTAACTCATGGATTTACATCTATTTTAGGACAAGACAAAAGTTTTGTTTTTCATAGGCAGCCAGATGAGCAACTAGAGAGAATTTCAAATTCCAAGGATTAGGGCCAGTGTCTTGCCCAAAGGAATCCTAGTCAAGATTTGCAGCCACTGTGAATTACCATGGCACAAATAATGATTCTCCTTTTTGAGGTACAAATCCTGCCTGAAAACAGGAGATGGCCTCTGGCCTGCTGAAGCTGCTGCACTGTGAGGGTGGATAGTCACTGCTGAATTTATGCAGCTAAATTCCACACAAGGCACACACGTGTCTCCCCAACTCATTCGCCGTGAAAAAGAATGCTGGTGGCTTTGCTATAGACAGGGGTTTTTTTTATCTTGTGTGGTTGGGTTCTGTCAAAATGAGAAAGTGCATGGGAGGGTGAATATGTACTGTGTTTAAAAATTTATATTGATGCATACAAATTATCAGAGGTGTTAACTGCATTGTAGTCTGAATGCCAAATGTGTTCCAAGCTCATGCAGAGGCCTGAGAGGCTTTGTTTATACTGGCTAGAGAATTCATGACCCATGAATTAAATTAAAGACTGCTCTTCAGATTCTCATTAAATACAGACCTGACTAAATCAATTTCTGTAGCAGTTTAGCCAGCTAGTGTGGAAGGTCATCTTTTGTCTGTGGTATTTCTGTAGTCCAGTAAGACTCTGAGACCAGAATTGGAAGGAGAAATGAGGAGCAAGAAAAGCAGATCCTTAAACAATGCAGTATGATTCCCTTCTATGTAATATTGAAATGAGCTCAAACTGCTAAACCAGAGTGAATAAATTAACTACCTGTGATAACACACCAGCCTGCTGAAGAACTTGATACCTTAAATACATATGTACATCATATAGAAATTAAAATGAAAACTTTAGTTGATAAACAGGAAGGAATTAACATTATGAATGTCTATAGGAAACTTGTACGTGCCAAAATGCTGATGCTTTCGGTAACACATGAATCACAGAAAACACAGGTTAAAACAGTTGTGCTCTGTGCATACAGGAAGCTCACTTTCTGAAGCTCCTTCATCAGTAGACAAGTCGCAACCTTTCTGTGACGGTAGGGTGCCTGCAAGACCCTCCTACACAGAAAAAGTAAACTAAATGCTTTTGTATTACATGTGCTCATCAGAGCAGAGGGAGCAGCTAATGAAATTGCCAAACCAAAATGCTTTTGAGAGGTTAGACCTTGCAGGATGGTTCTGGGCGCACAAGAGCTCTTCAGAGAGAACGTTCCAAACTCTGCTGCTGTCTTGCTTAGTTTTTCCCTATCTTAATGCATGCAGGCAGGAGATTCCTGCTATGTTTGTAAATCTTTTGAGGGGAGTGGTGGAATTTCTGGTGTTTGAAATATTGTTACTTCTACTGCTTACCTGGGACAGTGAGGAAAGGTCAGTTGAGGAAAACGTGAAGATTTCTTTAAGCTTGGGTTAAAGATCCTAGGCTATGATTTGTAAAGGTGCCTAAGAAAGTCAGAAAATCAACTTGGAGCAAACTTTTTTCCTGTAGCTCAGGAAAGGCTCACTGACCTTTTAGGCTTACAAAAATCTCTCCTTTAGCAAACGGCCTGGCTAAGAAATAGATTTAGTTGATTCTTTCAGTACCTTAGAAAGTTTACTGAAACAAATACTAAGCCTTATATCAGTAGGGCCTATAACTACTAAACCTCTATCGTTGCTGTCTGATTGCTGAAGAACTGTTCAAGGAGTTTAAGTAGACTTCCTTTTCAGTAGAAAAAGTGGAAGGGTTCTTTTAAGAAAATAAAAACTTAGGCTGAAAATCTTGGTCTTGAAACTTAATCTATCAAGCATGAGTATGAAAAAAGTCAATGTAAAGGCCAGTATTTCGGAAGTGCTAGCATGTACAAGCATTTTGCAAGTTTAGCAATTCTAGCAATAGGTAGTTTCTGCTAACAACTACTGCAATTAGAAGGCTGGTATTTTAACTATGCAGTCGGTTCTTTTTCTTAGCTAAGTTACTGTCTTTATCCTGTTGAAAATTTTAGAGTTCATTCCATGCAGTGATGTTTGTGTTCATTTATAGACATGAAGAAAACACAAGCCTTTAGTTTTCTGAATTTTCCCTGAGTAATTTACTCTGTAAGTTTGAGCTGTTCCTTCTCTGCTGATTTAATTCATCAAAATCTTCCAGCCTGCTGTAGTGCTTTGGCATTCTCTTTTGTGCTGGATTTATACTTCTCAGGTATCTTGAAGTGTATCTGACTGGTAGGAGGGCATATTAAAAAAAAAAAAAAAAGTAGTCTTGAAAAATGAACAAGTTAATGTAATTTTTTTTTTACTCTGCTACTTGCAGAAGGACATGCGCTGCTCAGTTTCTGTATGTTCGATAGTCCTCCTTTTGCACTTAGTATATTGATACTCTCCTCACAACACAAAGTTTACTTTCATTTCCTTGCTCTGATACATGGTCTCAACAGCAATGAAAAAGGAGGAAAAGGAAAGGCAGACTTTAGGTGATTCTTAAGATATATAAATTTTTTGTACTCCTAAAAGACAACAAAACGTCTGGATGTTTCTGAGGGAAAGGTTGTATTCAGCTGCTTTAGACTAAGAAAAAAATTACATATGTATCACATAGATAGCTGTTCTCTGTATAGCAAACAGGTGGTGGTGTGAAAATAATGCATTTCTAATCCTTAGAAATGAGTTGCACAATTGAAAAAGCCTTGGCAGATGCGAAAGCACTGGTGGAACGACTAAGGGAACATGACAACGCAGCAGAAGCTCTTATTGAACAGACTACAGCTCTTAACAAGCGGGTTGAAGCAATGAAACAGGTTTGTTTTCCAACTTTGTTTACTCCATTAAAACAATGACTTGGAAACATGTAAAATCATTTCTGTGTGCTACTGTACAATGTAGAATTAGTATGTTATTTGTTTAATCCTTTAATACCATACTAAGTATTTTCATTAGAGGTGTGACTATGATCTAAAAATAGGGTTTTTTACATATTTAGTTTGATCCTGCGAAGAAGTTTTCACTGTTACTCTAGCTTAAATATTGAAAACTAGCATTTATTTGAAGAACACTAGTAGAAACAGGGTTGGTATCTTACAAACCATTGTGTGGTGTCTTGTGTTCTGCGCTTCCATGAAATACTACTTGTTTTATTAATTTCAACATGCACCTTTAATCATACAGAGGCCCTGTCCTGCTTTCTTCTGTTCAGAATAATTTATCTTTTCACTGTCTCCTTTT